CTGACTGACTGGCTGGCTGGCTGACTGGCTGTCTGGCTGGCTGGCTGACTGGCTGGCTGGCTGACTGGCTGTCTGGCTGGCTGGCTGACTGTCTGGCTGGCTGGGTCGCTGGTTGTTTGGCTATTTGTCTCTCTGTATGCTGCTGCCAGATTTTACCATGTTATGAGTGAATTCATGATGTAATTAATTTATTTTTAATTATGCATTATGATCATCTATATAGATATTCGACCATAGCAAAAAGTGTAAATTAGAAATAGTTCTCCCTTCGCCATGTTGTTAGTTCTTTACCATTACGTCTTTTAGGTTCCGTTGGCGTGAAAAACAGTGTGATTGTGGCAGCTATCATTGGGTCCCTGATCTGTAGCCTGCTGCTGGTCACATCTGTTGCCTGCACTTGCAGGCTGTATAGTGACCGAGAAGGAGGTAGTCTGCGTTTGCCAAGACATCTGCAGCATGTGAGGTAAGGTGCTGCCTGCAAACATGCACTTACACGAGAGAGAGCTAATTCATTCTCACCGAGACAAAGTAACTTGACACCTGTGTCGTTGTTATTACTGGAAATATTTCGATGTTGGTAATTGGTATTTGATAATAATTCGTAGTAATTGCTACCAATTGCTACTTGATCCTGTAGGTTAGAGGAGAGAGTATCTGCGAGGGACCTGCCTCCACCGTACAGCATGGCTGTCGGCGAGGTGTACCAGGCGCCCTTCGACGACAACCGATGCTCCATGCTCGACCACTTCCGCTGGTCGGTGATGGGGCGGCGAGGCCGCGCGCGATCCTCTCCCCACTCGAGCCGATCCGCCTGCTGGTCGGCGCGCCTGCCACCGCAGCCTCGCGCCGCCACGGCGCATCTCTCGCCGGCCGACGCTCACGTCGAGGCGTTTCTGCTCACGCCGAGCGGCGGCGCGTCGGAGACAGTCGAGCCGGGCGGCGGCGCGGTGGACGTGCACGCCGAGACGGCGGCGCGGCACGCGAGCGCGCGGCGCCACCGGAAGCGGCACCGGCGCGCGGTGGCGCGCGGCGGTAGCACGTCGACGGCTGCCGACGACCGGCCGAGCGGCAACAACGATGGCGACACGCGTGTCGCCGCGGCGACGTTGTCATCGGCGGGCGTCGCGGAGGACCTGCGTGAGCTGCTGAGCGAGTCGGAGGCACTGGCCGCGCTGCGCCGCTCCGTGCTGCGCGCCGAGCTTCACTGTGATACGTCGCCGTCACTGCCGCCGCGGGCTAGCAGGGGGCGCCACGCGGCGGCCGCACGCCCGGACGCGACGTCCGAGTGCCGTAGCGCGTTTTCGACGGGAGGCAGCCATAGTCGTGGTCGCACGGACGCGGCCGATGATTGCACGTGGCTCGATCAGCGGCAGCGTGGCGGCGTGACGGATAGGCAGGCGGAGGTGAGAGCTGTCAGCGATCCACACATACACACTGGCGGCAGCCGCCCAGTGACAGGTAGCACTTCCAGCGACGATGTTCAATTGTTAGAATCATAACCGGCGTAGGTACTCATAGGGTTTATGTTATCTCGCACATTTTAGGCTCAACTGTTGAACCGATTGCGTGGTAAATCGCAGTTATGCCTTGACCTTCTGTTTCATGTTAATATATACAGAGTAAGGTAATAAGACATTTGTATAATCGGCTTCTGTTAATGTCCATGTATCGGAAATCATGTAGGTAGTTTTCTGAAACCTCGTGTGACAATGAGAATAATATTATTGCAACGAAATGTGATGCTATATGTTAAAATCTATTATTACTAATATATCTGCGAGTAAATTGCAAATTCACTCGCAAAAATGTACATACATACACTTCTGTTCACTACTGTGTTTAATGCAGTAAAATAATGAACTTAACCTAAACCTAACCTATGTATGCAGTTTTTTGTGCAGACTGTGGTTTGTTGAATATTGACTGCAAAAACTTGGTTTGTGCCTCATGCTACACAGTATTATTCCTAGTCAAATATAAAGTGACTGAATGTTTTGACATTTCGTTGTCTGGGTTGCACAGGCAACAGGTTGTCTTAATAAACTCATTTGTATTTCAGTGTAGCAGGAGATGTAGTTATACAGGCTATCATTCACTGTTTCAGGTTATATAGGTTTAACAATGTGCTGCAGCCATTTTTAATGTTTCACACAGCACTCATCAGAATATTTTGACGATTTATTTAGTTTTCATTCTTGATTTTTAGCTCATCTGACATAGTCAGATGCAGCTTGTAGAATCGCTTGATCGTCCGTCCGTCCGGTCGTCCGGTCGTCCGGTCGTCCG